TATGGGATAGAAGGGTTGCCGATAATTGGTGGACCACGATGAAATCCTGGTGGCTTCGTGTAAATCACTTCAACAGGTGAGCCTTTCTGCTTGAACGGTACTGCTTAGGAAATTCGATTGCAAAATTAATTAGATTACCTACTGATTAGAGTGAATTTTTATTTAATCTCAAGTGAAAATAATCAATTATTGCATTGAATAAGAAAATTCTCACAAATCCTCTAATTAAAAAGTTGTTACAATGCGAATTGCATTAAGACGAGTTTCCTGAACGATGTAACTCTCGATTGCTAAATTTGTTTTCCTACTATAATTAACACGTTTCGAGATAGTTGAAAGTTTTGAGATAGAAATATGAGACGCTTAATCAGAATATTGCAATGAAATATTAAATTATATATATTTTGATTTCTTTTCATATGTGACTTGAGATTCAAGGATTAGAAAAACACGGTCGAAGTATCTCACCTGGAGGAACAGGACCGACATATATCCCAGATCCAATTCTAGATTGTGCGTAAGGAAACGGTTTTCCATGCACTCTTCTCACACGTTGATACCATCCAGGATAAAAGACATCGTTCCTCGCTTGAATTCCAGGCGCGTGCGATTGCTGTTGTTGCATTAAAGGTATAGATACTGGATTTGATATAGTCGAATGAATATCTATCGGGTTCACAGGCGAATTGTAGGTTGGCTGATTAACTGGAAAAGCTTGCAACGTCTGTCTTTGTTGCATAAGTTGTGCAGTCAAATGTTGATTCACCGAGGAGGATATGGGTTGTTGATTAACCTGCATTACTGATTGTTGCGCTAATTGTTGTACATTCATTGGTTCGACGTTCTTGAGATTTTCTTTGCTTTGTAAATAATGATCTAAAGACAGCCGTGATTCTTCTGGCGTCTTGGAGTTTAGAAAAGTGTTCAACGCTACTTGAGCCTTGGAGGTGATTCCTTGATTGTAGGTATTTGTAGACAAATGTCGACCTGTTTGAACGATCTTCTCTTGTTTCGATGGATACGACGAATTATATAAATCTCTTTGAATGATTGCATGATCATCGATTTTTATCGGATTTGCGGATTGGCTCGAATTACTAACATTTGGGATCAATGACGAAAGATGAAAGTTTTGAGAAGATTCTGTCAAAATATCCGTCATGTTCTCTGCCATTTTTTGCCTTGCAGTTTTTTCGAAGAGTCGTGATTCCACGGCCGTGTACTCGGTGTTTTCCGTCAATGGATTACCCTCGAAGTTTAATTGACCATTGACTAATCCTAAGAGGGCCAACAAGATCGTTGCCAGATTCATGATTCTGGAATTAATGGTAAATCTACTAATTTTTGAACATTTCTCAAATTTTTAAAATAAAAATAGAATAACATATATATTTAATATTTCTAGCAAAATACTTATAAATAATAGAAGCTTTTAGAAGAAGTTCATTGATTAATAATTTCAATTAATTGTAATTAACAAACAAAAAAGATAAATATTTTGAAGCGTTTTGTGTATCATTCTATCGTTGGCCAACGAAAAGAAAGAAACGAATTATACAAATATTTTATTATTTATATTCCATATAGATATATACTTTACGGTACACGTCACGGTAATTAATCATTGATCTAATTTTAGAATTAATATTATATATTTATATATTATTTCATTTGCAGTTTATAGAAATATATCGAAAAGTAGATCGATTGTATATTCATGAATCGATTGACGTGGGTTAAAGACCAGCGTAACACTTTCTTCGGTCAAGGTGAACATAATCACGCTAACATGAAACACGTTTTCATTAATCGCTTTCCGATGAAGATATTTCTTTTATCACACCATTAAAGTTACATATTACCATTCTTTTTATTTATTATTAAAGTCTTAAGATATATTGCTTCAAAATCATAAATCTTTCATACATGAAAGAGAATCGTAAATAAATCTATAAAACATTTCTATTTGAATTTCATGAAATAAACCGGTGAATTATGAATCGAGACATTACCAGACATACGACATAGATCAGATTGTAATATCTATTATATATAAACTACGATTTTTAAAATAATATTTTTGACTAAAATAGTGGAAAAAAAAATCATTGAGAGAAAATGGCTACACTTGCATATTATTCTTTGTTTAAGATCAATTTTTGTCAAAGAAATTTTCATGTAAGAAACTAGATAAATAGTATGACTATCCATTTCGTTTTCGATTGATTCTGGAATTATTTTATATGAATTTAAATGCATAAAAGCAATAATGCATAAATGCATAAAAGCTGTTGATATTCATTTTTATTGTTGTTTAAAATGATTAATGGTAATTTCATTTTAGTAGAATTTTAAAATTTTAAAATTTGAATTCTATCCCGTGGAACTTTCTAAAAACCGTTAATTCATTACAAATTCAGCGATTGGCCGAAATTCAAAAAACGCCTTGATTTCTTTACTGGTTGACAAGGACTATTGACACCATTCATGGAACGTGTCTTATGTCGGCAATGAAAAGCGAACTAACATTACAATACATTACAAATAACATTAGAATAGATTTTAAGTGCATAATTTTTTTTAAAATTCATAGGAACATAAGAACAAAAGAAATAGAAATGCCAAGTACCATAAAAATAATTTAATGAAGTTTTAAATAAAAAAAAAAATATAGCCATATTTTTAATTGTTCATTTTAACGATCTTTCATATATGTATATTCTTTAAAAAAAATACTACATTAATTTTGAACAAAATATAAATTTTATATAAATTTTATTAGAAATTTTATTTATAGCTTTATCCATAAGTTTAGAATAATAATTTTCATTTATTATTAATTGAAAAAAAATTATTTTGAAAAATATATCATTATTTTAAATATCTCTAATCGAGTTAATTAGAAACAAAAGAAAAATTCTTTGAATTTTACTTACAATTGTACAATGTAACAATATTTCAATAATTCAAGCACTAAATTTTTCGTCTCTCGTCACAAGTTTCTTAATTACATTGAACACCAACTTGACAAATTCAGCTGTTATAACAAATAGCGTACAAGAAGAGACCATCCATCGGTCCGACTGGAACCAGGAATACTGAAGATCCACGATGAGAAAGCCATTCACTTCGACTCTCCCTACCTTCTCTGCAAGCTTATAAACCCGTCCCCTTGTCGTTTATTACCTGGACGAAATTGCTGTTAACCAACGTGTGTATTCCTTTCATTTTGTTCAGTGATCTCGCGAACTATTTCGTTCCTTTTCCTTGACAATGGTCTCTGCTCTTTTGTCACAAATGTTCCAGGAGAAAGTGAACCGTGAGTGAAAATCGAGCAAAGAATGCAAACTGTTTTTGAATAAGTGGGGTTCAATCGATTATGGTTTCTCTATCGTTTGATGACAGGAGTGACCTAAATTGAATGAATGAAAATAGTTTATTCTTATTTACTATTGTGATAAAGTATTAAAATATAGATAGAAAAATTTAAGAAAGATATTATAAGATCACATATTATTTAATTTTATTATTATGATCATATATTGTCTCTCTCTGAGCAAAAAGCATTAATGAAATTGCGTAATTTTCAAGGAATTCAAAACATCCTTGGGAAACATCGATTCTTCCACAATTATGTTTGGTCAATAACTTTTTCTGCAATCGTTCGACCGCGAACGTAGATCAAGAATCGTATAGTTGTGCACCATGGGAATAACGGTCTGAAAGAAGAGATTTAATGCTCGTTTGTTGTGAGAAAATTAATAAGTCGGATCCGTTGCACTATTTTCGTCAATCGTATTTCCTCGACGTGCCCATAGACCGTGAAGAATATGAACGTATTATCAATCATGGAAAATCGATTGTCATCATCGTATAGCTATCAATGTTGCTTGTAAGACAATTTTGTATCTTTAGTATTATGTTACAAGTTTACTTACTTTTTTTTTCCTTTTCTTTTAATTTGCAGTATAGTGAAGACTTTTACATCATGTAGCTATAAACTTTCAAAGAAAAGCGTTAATTAATGGAATAAGTAGGTCGACCAGTTAGAATTGGTGCTATGCTGTACTAAACGTTGTATATGAGCGTCAGGTAAGGTAACCATCAAGCAATTTCTGTTGAAATACAAGTAAATCAAACGGTAGTTTAAACATTTTGTTTGCGTTAACTTTCGAATGACCGTTCATGGTAATGATATTGTCGATATGATTCTTTCTCGAGCATCTTAGCTATTATATTCAATAAAAATTATTTTGATCATATTCGTATCAATATCACTATATCATTATCATATTAATTACCATATTACCATATTAATTCTATTAAATTTTTTTAAGGAAAAAAGAAAAGGTTATTATAAAAGAAACAATGAACTCCATCTGATCATGAAATCAATTTCAATACAGCCAATTTTCTTTCCCGACACTCTTGATACATTACTCACAACTATGCTAATCATCTCATATAAATCATATCTCTGTTTTATTCATGATTAGATAATCTCAAGAATTTAAAGGTTCTCTATTGAACATTTCAATCAACAAATTCTTATATTTTCCTATTTGAAAATATACAAAAGATTACCATTTTTAACATAGAAAAAAAAGATCTCGTGATTTTTTTTTTTGAAAAATTGTATTGCGTATATTTTGAACGAATACAAATGTTGAGAAACATCCTAAATGAGCATTCACGAAGACAATAGGAGGGGTGACTGACGTCCACGCTCCTCCTCATCCTCCCGATGGCATCAGCCGCGATCGTGCAAGCGAAGCTTCGGTCCGAACGTTATATAATTGTGGCAGATTACTTCCAACGTTGGTCACATGCATGCTGCCATACTCGGCTGTGTGCTTACAAACGTTCTTCTACAGTGGACATTCAACTATCGAACAACTTGAGCGCGAGGATGGAATCACATCGAGGAAGAAACGCCAACAACATGTGGAAACGCTTGAAAGATCTGTTACTAGATCTTCATTTAAATTCAGATCGTCTGTTTTATCGGTGAGTAGATTATTTTTAGAAGAAAATATTTTTTTTAGAAACATTTTTAACTTAGAGTTGTTTAAGATTAATTTTTCTTTTTTTTTTGTTTTTTTTTTTTTATGTATATTTTTATGCTTTATATAAACTATGCATAGCTTTTTTCCATACAATTACTTGATTTGATATTTTTTATTGGTTTTATTTTTATTTGGTTTCATTAAAGTTTTTTGTTTCTTTCTTGTTTACAATTGAAAAAATTGTTGAAGAGAAAAAATAGATGAGATTTCCGTAAATTGAACATTATTACGTTTTTTTATTGGAAATATATCCTCGTTTCCATTGGATTTTAAATTTGCGCTTAATTCTGCATTATACATTGAAATGTTCCGTTTTCAGTCCGTTTTAAATAACTGACATTGAAATGTACTTTATTGGTAATTTTATACTGAGAAGTTAATTGCCACAATGCAAATTGTGACAAGGATATATCTTCATTAGAGTAATAGGAAATTTAAATCTCTGTAAAAATTATTCATTGATTTAAAGTTTTTCACATTGAAATATCTCACATGAATAATCTCAAATGATTCATTCGATTCAAATGAAATTCGTGATTGTTGCTCGAATTGCAATTATGATCAATCAACTTCCACGCGCCATAGCATGTGTTTTCAATAGGCAATTGATCGAACTATGAAAACATAATAAATCTCATTGTAGAATAATGATATTAACGGTGATCAAGTTTCGGGGCTTGAACCTTGTGCAATTTAATCCACTTAAGGTGAGATCATCGCGACCCTCTTAATTAGTTGAATCAAGGATGGTCGCTTTCGTTCCACGAAGTGGCCTATATTAGGCCAACGGTTCCTCTGGCGCTACCCTTTGTGTTTTCTTAATATTTCATTTAAGTATCGTTCTCCTTATTAATCAATTATATCAACGAATTTTTTTACACTTAGTCATTCGTTATTTATTAATTAAACTCATAAGATATCTCAATCAAAAATCAGCTAAACTTATTTCTTCTAAATTGATCCATCTAAATTGTTATATTTTATGTATTGACATTTTTTTTTTAAATTGAAACAATTTGTATTTTATTCAATGTATTGCTAGGTAGACTATATTTGCTGATAAAGAATATGCCTTAACGCAACACTGCATAAAATTATCTTAAACTTCTCAAATGACACTGTTCCATGGTTTTACCTAGAAAAAAAAAAAAAAAATATCTTTTCAATAAAATACATAAAAAAAACTTTTTTGCATTAAGAAATTTTTTTTAAAAAATACTACTATTCTTATTATACTTTACCACATAGAAAATTTAATATAAAATATTGTTTTTAGTATTGGCTTAAGCATTGGAAAACGGCCCTGGCTGTGGTTGCTGGTATGTTTCTGCATAAATTGTATCTGCGCGCCTGGACTGATTTTCTGGAGAGAAGAGCTCGACGATATCGAGCTCTTTGTGCCCGAAGATTCCATAATACGTAACGACGCCGCCTGGGTGAAGACACACTTCCGGGACGATTTCCGATACGAAAGTATCATCGTCACAGCCCCCAACGTTTTAGAGCCGGAAGTGCTGCGCTCGGTACATAGGCGATCATGAATTATACGAGTATTTATGAAGGTTCTTTTCCACTTTAACGCATGATTCTTGTCAAAATTTCTTAAGACTCACGAGATTTACCTAGCATTTGGAATCTGTGAGCTGGAATCTTTGAGAGATCAAGTCACTTGTTGAATCATGTTTTTTTATTTTCAGATTAGCAAAATAGAGCAAGCAGTAAAATCTATCGTGGTAAATAATAATACCTGGGAAGATGTGTGTGCAGGGTAACAAAAATTAATTTATTTTTAGTGATTTGTAATATCTTGTTCTTGATTTGAATTGTAGATAAGATTCTCACTGAATTACAGATATTTCACATGGTTCAATGTGGAGAATACAACGGAAATCTTCGAGGAGATCATTGGATCCAACCTGGCAGAATTTAAGGATAAGATACAAAAAAGTGGATGTATATATCAATCTGTCATACAACTTTGGGAAACTAGTTTAATGAAAGATATTCGTAATTTGACAAAAAAAGAGGTGCTTGAGGATGTGACCAAAGCAATCAAACACAAGTGAGTCTCTAATTAAACATATCTTAGAACTATCTTTCAAAATATTTACACATTTAATCTGTTGTAGGATCAACGATAATATTCTATTAGATATTACGCCTCTGTTCTCCGGTATTATTTATGATAAAAAAGGTCGGGTTAAAGGCGCCAATGCTACAATTTTGAATTGGATGTTAAAAAAATCTAATCCGAACTCGGCCAATTGGGAGTTAGAGTTCATAAACCGAGTTCTCCATTCAAATATCACGTTTCCTCCAGGAATGGAGATACATGCAATAGCTTCACGAAGTTATATAGATTCTTTACATCAAATACTAAATAGTAATCTTACAGTATTATGTTGCGGAATATCTTTGATTGCGGTCTATGTAATGGTTATGATTGGTAAATGTAATGCATTAGAACAACGAATTTATCTATCAATAATGGGAGTGTTTGTGGTTGGTCAGGCGATTTTATCCTCTTACGGAGTATGCTATTACTTGGGTTATTCTTATGGTCCTATACATTCCATTCTTCCATTTCTGTTGCTTGGTATAGGTGTCGATAATATGTTTGTGATTATGCAAAGTCTGATAAATCTTCCTGAAACAGATCAATCCGCAGCAATTCCTATACGTATTGCTAAAGCTATTCAACAGGCTGGTATGATCTTACATTTTGTAATATTATTTTTAATACGTAATATTTTTCTTATCTCTTATTTTTCTTTTAAGGAATGTCAATCACAGTGACATCTTTCACAAACATAATTGCGTTTGCTTTCGGAATTACAACTGTGATGCCGACATTAAGATCCTTCTATGCATTTGCCACATTAGGAATTCTATTTTTATACATATATGAAATCATATTCTTCGTAAGTTGTCTCGTATATGATGAAAAAAGACTCGAAGCCCGCAAAGATGGTTGTTTCTGTCGACCAAAACTAAATTGGAAACCCAATGAATGTAGCCAAAGGAACACGCAACAAATTATCTTTGAGAATTATATCGGTCCAGGTATCACCAAAACTACAACAAGGGTAATTATTTTGCTAATCACTGCCAGTTGTCTATGCGTTAATATATGGGCAGTGTTTCAATTGGAGCAAAATTTCGATCCTCTTTGGTATTTAAATCAAGACTCTTATCCAATCCAGTTTAATGATAAATTAAAGCAATATTTTCCAAAATATGGAAAACGAGTAGGAATTTATATGACTGGCATAGATTATTATGAAGATCGTAAATCTCTTTCTGAATTGGTAGAAGTTTTAAAACACAATAAATTTATTAATAATAATACCCTTGATCCATGGTTTATTGCTTATGAAAAATGGCTTAATGTCACTAATAAAGGTAAGTTTATTTTATATATAAAATAAAATGTTTAAGAATAATTAAATTTTAATATTTGATTATAGGCGATATAGATAGCAGCGAAGAATATTATAACATTTTGACAGAATTTTTACTTTTGACGAAGGAAGGTCAAGCATATATTAAGGATATCAATTTCGATAAATTACCGGCTGGAGAATATAATATAACGGTATTAATAAATGTCTATCTATATAACATATACTTATTATTACAATCTATTGTAAAACGTAATTATCTTATATTATAAAAAGAATTTCAAATTATTCAGCTATCGTATAAAATATTTTCAGAGAAAAATGATGAATTACGAAGTACATTTACAATAGATTGTTATGATAAACTGTGTGATTTAACAATAATTTTATTTATCTCAGACATCACAAATTCCTATTCAACACATTATGATTAATACAACATCGGAACAAATACAAGCAATGCAACTTATCAGAGAGTCAATTCAAGCGATAAATTTTTCTCGTGGACATGATTATATAGCAATTTTTTCTCCTGATTATGTTTCATGGACAGCAAATAAAGTAAAGATCCTGATTTTTTTTCATTTTTTTTTTTTTTTTTGAACTAATTATTATTTTCTCATAGGTCATAGGAGAAGAATTAATTAGAAATTTAGGCTTGGAAATTCTGACTATCGGAGTAGTAATATTGATATTTCTTAGAAATTTACAAACATCATTTTGGGTGATTTGTTGCGTATTCTTTACGCTTATTGATTTATTAGGTACTATGTATTTTTTGAACTTAACTATTGAAATGTCCTCAAGTATTATGATTCTGTTATGTGTGGGACTAGCAGTTGATTATGCAGCACATATGGGATTAGAATTTATACGTGCAAAAGGCAGCAAAAAAGGTAAATAATTTCCTTTCTTGTGTTAAATTTATAAAAAATTTATAAAAAAAAAATTATTAAGTTATTATTAAATTAATGATTTTAATGATTTTTATAGAACGTGCAATAGAAACACTTTCTATTATTGGTCCAGCTGTGTTTAATGGAGGTTTGAGTACATTTTTAGCATTTGTTTTACTAGGTTCTAGTGATGCTTATCTTTTCAATACTTTTTTTAAGGTATTATTTGAAAATTTCTTATTTTTTTTTATTAAAAATTTTTCTTATCAAATTAACTTTTTTTTAAAAATTTTTCAGTTATTTACTTGTGTAGTGATATTTGGTCTGTTTCATGGATTATTATTTTTACCAGTAATTTTAAGTTTATTAGGTCCTGAAGAAAGAATAAAAAAAGAAAAAAATGAAACTGTTGTAAAAGAACAAAATGGATATTGTAATGTTCCTCTATCTCAAAGTGAGAAAGGTAATACTTTATAAAAGATAAAAATCATTTATAAAATATTTATTAATATTTTATATATTTTTTTTATTTCTTTAGAAATAATAACTGAAACTGCCAAATAAATTTTGACAATATTCCAAAGACTGCTTAGATAAGTAATTGGTTACAAAATTCTAGAATACATTGCAATTACAAAATGCACATGTACTGTAAAACAGTAGTTTATATATTCTTTATTAATCTGTTCTTTTGTAAAAAAAAAAGGAAAAAAATAAAAAAAAGTACCTTTTAAAATATTAAATACTAGTTATCTTTTTCGTCTAGTTTTTACTTCTGTCCATTCATTTGCAACTTTCATACAAACAGATGTTTCTTCTTCATTTTCAGAACTATCATTTTCTATAGTACAAGAATTTTGAATTTTTTTTATAGATTCATTTGTTATAATCCATGATTGTAATGGTGGTAACTTTTCAAGTTCTGTCATTGCTAAATTTTCATTATTTTCAATACAATAACGATAAAATCTTAACAATTCTTCTGCTACTTGCATTGCACTGTTATCTTGAAGTTCTGTGTTAAAATGCTCATCCATGTAATCTTCCAATTCATTAGCAATTTCATTGGTATTCAAATTCTCTAAAGATAAAAATAAAAAATCAATTATAAAAATAATTGAGGTATAATAAGGAAATGAATGAGATACAAACCATTCATATACATAACCTCTGTCATATATGGACAGAAATCTATTGCTCTTTCCTTTATACCCATTCCATGTTCCACTGCCATCTAATAAAAAATATTTTATAAAAAATAATATATATCAAGAACATATATATCATATTGTATATTCCAAAAAATAAATACTTACTTTTAATGCAGTCCAGTTACTAAAAATACGTTGTGTAACCGAAAGAAAAAATTCTTTTGTATTTGACATTTTATCATTTAAAATAAAACAAAATTCTTAAGAATATTTATTATGTACAAATTTAGTTACAACAATTATCTATTATTCTTTTCAAGTACTTATCAAATTAACAAATCTATTATGTGTTTTCAATTTCTCAGTTAAAGTTAGGTTATTTAAGTTGTTAAGATCAAGTTAGGTTATATATTATAAAGTGTTATGTTACTTCGTTAGCACTTTATATATGCTGAAATTTTTAAATAGAAATATATATATAGAAATATATATATATATACTAAATATTTCAGCTTTTATCGATATTAAAAAGTAAATATCAATTTTTTTATTGGAATATAAAAGATTGATTTGTGAATTTTTATTAAATTTAATTTTTGATATACTTATCATAAGTATAATATTTCTTTTACAAATATTATCGCGAAGATATGTCAGACGCTTTTGAAGAGATACAGGCAATTAAAATAAAAAGAAACAGTTTGCGTGAAAAATTGCAGAAAAGGAAACGTGAAAGACATGAATTATTTACTCTTACTTCTACAACACCAGTATCATCCTCCTTGACAAATGATTCTTCTCTTTCTAATGGTAATTGAATTTATTCATTTAATTATTTTTTTTAAATGCTTTAATATATTTCTGACATTCAATTTTAAATATAATTTTTTAATATTTTATATAATATAAAACTAAAAATATACTAAAAATATAATGAATGTTTTAGATTTAATAGGACATTCACATCGTTCTGATCATAATGAATATGAAAGAGATGTGTTATGCATCCTGCATGAATCATTACCCAATTTACCAATTACATCTGCAGAACTAATAGATCAACTTCGTAAAAATTTAAATGCAGATGTATGTTCTTCAGATATCCATAAAATTTTGGAGAAGTTTGCAGCACAAGATATTGTTAAGTTAGTAAGTTTCTGCACTATTTTATGTTAATACTTTATATAAAAATTAGAAATTGAATGAACTTTTTCAGAATTAAAGAAGTAACAGAAAATGGTGTCTTTGGATATACAGTATTATCAGTGATAGAATCACAATCATCATATCAATCTCAATCAGATGATACTGAAAATCCAGAAAGTGCAGAAACATCTGCATCTGAATTAAATGATTATGGACCTGCAGAGAAACAGCCTAAATTAGATAAGAAAAATGTAGAGGATATAATGTCACTTATATCTATGCCTACTATTAGGGAAAAAGAAAATAAGAAGGTTGGAGAGCAAATTTTAGATTTATTATCAAAGCAAACATCCAAGGAAAAATCATTAGCCGAAAGATTTCGATCTCAAGGAGGAGCACAAGTAATGGAGTTCTGCCCTCATGGTACACGAATAGATTGTGTTAAATTAAATGGTGGACCAGGATTTGCAGAAAAATGCAAGAAACTTCATTTCAAAAAGATTATTCAAAGTCATACAGATGAATCCTTGGGTGACTGCAGTTTTCTTAATACTTGCTTTCATATGGATACATGCAAGTATGTATTGTAAATGTTATAATTTTATTTTAATTTATAAGAAATATTTATTAATTATGTTTTTATTTAAATATTTTATTATATAGATATGTACATTATGAAGTGGATGGACCAACAACTCAACCAAAGGAATCAAATGAAACAGATAATGCAAATAATAGTACAGTGAATAAAGGTTTAACAATAGATAGTAAAAATGGTAATAATACTTCTTGTCCAGCTTCTAGTGGATCTTTAGGTAGTGAATTGACTCTTTATCCACCACAGTGGATACAATGTGATTTACGTTACCTTGATATGACTGTATTGGGTAAATTTGCTGTTATAATGGCTGATCCTCCATGGGATATTCACATGGAATTACCTTATGGTACCATGTCAGATGATGAAATGAGACAACTAGGTATACCTGCTCTTCAAGATGAAGGTCTTTTATTTTTATGGGTAACAGGTAGAGCAATGGAACTTGGTAGAGAATGTTTACAATTGTGGGGATATGAAAGAGTAGATGAAATCATATGGGTAAAAACTAATCAATTGCAAAGGATAATAAGAACTGGTAGGACAGGTCATTGGTTAAATCATGGCAAAGAACATTGTTTGGTCGGTATGAAAGGAAATCCAAGAATTAATCGAGGCTTAGATAGTGATGTTATTGTAGCTGAAGTTCGTGCGACCAGTCATAAGCCTGATGAAATCTATGGAATTATTGAACGTATGAGTCCAGGAACGAGAAAGATAGAATTATTTGGTCGACCACATAATGTTCAACCTAATTGGATCACATTAGGTAATCAGGTAGATGGAGTTCATTTGATTGATCCTCAACTTATTAAAGCCTTTAAAAAGCGTTATCCGGATGGAAACTCAATGAAACCTAGTAAACCATAAATATTTTAATATAAAATATGTGGATAATTATTTTATTATAAATTAATACAGAATGAAATTGTATTTAATAAAATTTGAATACAAATTTTTGATTTTCATATGTTTGTTTTAAGATATTCATACAAAAATAATTTTATTTTTAAATATAAATGTACATACTTATATAAGATTACATATAAATTGCATTTACACCAATTGATACATTTTTTTTTAATTTACATTAATATCAAAAATATTTGTACATATTTATTAGAAGTAATATTTAATTCATGCATTAGCATACATGTATACATTTATATATATATTTATATATTTTTAATTTTATAGCATTTATAATATATTTTTCAAAATATGTAAATAATACATAGGTAAGTACTTATATTCATTAATATAAACAAAATTATTTTAAATTGAATATAATATTTAAAATATTGAGAGAAATAATTTAGCAATCAAATTTAAAATACAAAAAATATTCCTATTATGATTAAATATAATATTTTTTTGATGACCTAAATCTTTACATTTATTTATATATAGTATGGTATATAGTATTGAATATAACAAAATAATTCAAAATGAAATTTAAAATTATATTATAATGTTTAAACAAAGCCAATGCTGCTACGTTTGCGTTTTAAAAAACTCCTCTTTAATGTTAATGAAAGATGATTTTCACTTATTTTATTTATAGACAATCTAGAGGATCGATTTATTTTTGATGGAGTCAAAATTTCTTCATTTTCCTTTTCATTGATATTAATTACATTTTCTAGTGAATTAATACTGCATTTATAAATTTTATTAAATGAATCAATCCAATGTCTTTTTCCATGATCATCTTCTGTTATTAAAATATGATCTCCAATTTTAAATCCATAAGATACATCAGATTTTTCAGCTGTACTTATGCAAATCTGCTCTTTAGGTATAACAGGATAAAATAAATTATACTTCTTACTTATAGATCTTGTACCACGAGTTATTGCAAAAGCCGTGTCAAAAAGAAAACACTGAAATTTCTAAAAATCATAATTATAAATTTTTTAATATTTATTTAATTGATAAAATAATTTCACAAAATATTCTTACCATTCCCCTTATATCTTTAAGTTGTCCTTGAGTAATTAATTCTGTCGCATTTTTAATGCATTTGGTAGGATCATAATCTGGTTTTATATTAATTTTTGATTGAGCCAACTTGCATTCCTCATCTCCTATAATTTTGTCTATATTTTTAAGTAGATTGCATATTAAATCATATGCTTCTTTTAAATATGTTTGATCTATATGTGTTGTTGCAGTATGCCTTAGCATTTCTTTAATCAATAAAGGATATTTAACAATTCTTGATCTTGCTACATCTATGTAAGTCCATAAATCTACAGAATGTGGAGATTCTAAACGTTTTTTTAAAAATGATTGAAATCGTTTATTTGTTAATCTTTTTTCATCTAATAAATGTTTTGCCCATATTTGTGTTCTACATCTTTCTAAGTATGGTTTTGTTAATATTGGAATCTGAAAATTATAATAAAAATTATAAAAAATATAAATTATAAAAAATTGAATAATAATTTAATTATATTAATTAAATATTAAAAATGGATTACAACTACCCAATTTAATATTGTAGATCCAACAGTTTCTGTAAATCCATATTTATCTCTTAAATCAATTAATTCATCTTTTAATCTATTATGTATTTCAATAAGATTTGTTATATCTCCAAAAATTATATTTAATTCATCAGGAGTAAAAATATTACTGTTTATTAATGGCTCATAATAAAAGTCTTTGAGAACACATAAATCATTAATGAATACATTTTCTCCACAATACAATTCATAAATTGCTTCTTGTTTTTTTACTTCTTTTCTATTTAAAACATAGTTAGGTCTATCCTTAATACTTGTATTTGCCACGTCAACTACCCAGCTTCTAAGTGTAAAATTATTAGAATTTTCAATACTTTTCTTGTGTCTAAGAAATAAAATTAGATATAAATAAATAAAAATTAGATATAAATAAGAAATTAAATTAAATGAATATTCTTAAATTATATGTCAAAGATATATTTAATAATATTTTTATACTTTATTTTTAATGTTCCTGTATCTATTTCATTATTCACAAATGATAAGTCTGTTGCATTTGGTTGAATTGTGAAAGATCTATGAATACTATTTCCTTGTTTATTACTTAGAGTAGAAGAAGAAAAAATGCTGCTGGCCACTTCTGTAATCCTTCTTCTCTTTTTCTTTTTTATTACATCTGATTCAATAGATATGTCCATTGAATTGATACTGATAGCATCACTTTTTGGTCGTTTTCTTGTTCGCTAATTCGTAACATTAGAAAATGTCACTTTTATTATCATAAACAAAAACAATATGAAAAATATTAAATAATAATAAAAAATAATAAATCGTTGATAATCTGCTAATTAAAATAATCATAAAAAATTAAAAGTATAATAGATAAAATTAAAAAAAAAAAAACAAAAAAATTAATATCATTAAATATTAATTAAATTAATACAGGTTAATCACGCGTCATTTTTAAGTAACTTTGATAATATTTAAGAACTTACCAACCAAAATTTTTTTCGAGGTTCTGAAAAAGTATCTTTATTTGTATTATTACTATCATCATACATTTCTTTAAACTTTCAAAAATTTACGCACAATTGAAATATATGCAGTATTATTCCATACAAGGTAACCGTTAAACTACGCAAGCTTTTGAGAAAAACAATCCGTCAGTATAAACGCGACAAATATAAATTTTAGGATATTTTCTATTTATTCTAGCATAATGATTCCTTTAATTTTTACAGTGTTTTTTATCGTTATAGTATTACTTATAAGGTAGGAAAACTTTTACATTATTCAAATGAATAGAAACAAAGCTGTTGCTTTTAGTTACCCCCTCTTCTTATTTGAAAATATGAACCCGTAAAATAAATATCAAATGAATATATTTTCTTGTGCTAAAATATTTTCTTAATTTATAACATTATTAAATGAAGATCTTTTGAATATAAGTTTTGTTTGTAGATTTATGGAATCTTTCTTTAATTACATATATTCGAAAAGAAAAGAATGATTGAATTCATTTCTAAATATAAAAGTCTTTTGAATTTATGCCGCCATATTAAAGTTGACATATTACTTAATAATTTATAATAATTTATACTTAAAATTTACTTATTTTTGAATTAATTCAAAAATAGATATAATATATTTTATTATTCGATAAGTATTGTTTCTTTTAGATTACTTAATTATGACTATTTATCTTTGTACACGTGTTAAATGAAGAGGTAGGAGAGGTAACCTAAAATGTAAAAACAAATAAGTACTTAATACATTTATCCATAATGATGTTTTATTAACTTTTATTTTTTTTTTAGGAAAAACGAAGAACAGCAAAAGCAATGCCATTCTAAGAAATCTGTTAGTAAGCGAACTATGGATAAAAAGGATAATAAAAATACTCAGCGTATGACTCCATATACGGAGCGTAATGCGTCTGGTCGAAATTGGGAAATGTTTAGAAATTTAGTATTTAATTCGCCATCATTAAATCCAGATTCTGGAAAAGAGAATATTAAAAAAAAATCATCACCACATCAGAAATCAAGAAAAAAGCATTATTCATCTATATTAAATGTGGATCATATAACATCACATAATGATGAAGAAATAATTTTTGATGAAAGTAAGAAGAAATTAACAAAACAAATAGCAATTGATTGTGAAATGGTAGGTATAGGAGATGGTACTGAAAGTATGTTAGCTAGAGTATCTATTGTAAATCGTCATGGTTTCTGTGTTTATGATAAATATGTAAAACCAAGAGAACCTGTTCAAGATTATAGAACTAAAGTTAGTGGAATTAGACCTCATGATCTTCAAAATGGAGAAGAATTTGAGATTGTTCAGAAAGAAGTAGCAGAAATTTTAAGAGGCCGCATTTTAGTTGGTCATGCATTAAAACATGATTTTGATGTATTATATCTTTCTCATCCAAGAAAACATCTACGAGATACTTCTAAATTTAAAACTTTCAGACAATTATCTAGAGGAAATACTCCTAGTTTGAAGAAACTAGCACATGAATTATTAGGTAAAGAAATACAAACAGGGGAACATAACTCAATAGAAGATGCAAGAGCTACAATGCAATTATATATGCTCTATAAAAATAAATGGGAATCTGAACTCTATTCTAAACGGTAATTTGGATTATAATGAACAATCTATACATTTTTTATAAAAAAATTCTAAAAATTTTGTCTATATATAAAACAAAGTTCAAATATTTGATGAATATTTATTTAAAAATTTATCTTTTAAATATAAAATTATTCAAAAATAAATAAAAATATCTTTATTTTATATAAAATAACTTTATATTAAATACTTTAATTTTTTTCTTAATCATGTTTAATAAAAACTAATCTTCAGGCTTTACAACGTATGAATATTAAATCTATATAATTAAATATGTAAATAGAATACTGTTATCAGAGTGTAAGAGAATTTATGTTAAAAATTTCAAAATATATTTCTTTTTTATATAAATTTTAATGCCTACATTCTTTTATCTGAAATATTTTTTAATATTATTAAATAAAAATTAAATAAATTGTCTTATTAAATAAAAAAAAATAAACGTGATGTTCAGTAATAAAATTAAATATATTCACTTTATACAATTTATTCATGAATCTATTAATATTAAGTAAAGTGATAAAAAATTATTAAAAAAAAAATGTAAAGGTATAGCAACTCTTGAAGCTAAATATAGAATATTTATTATTTAATAGATAGAATAGCCAAAGAAAATAATAAAGTTTAATTAGATATTGTTTTTAGCATTGTTTTTTTAGCGCATAAAATTTACAAAAAAAGTATAGACAAGAAGAATAAATCATGAAAAAATGAAAAAGATAGAAAAAAAATGCAATCAGCATTATCTTTAATACCATAATTGAAATTCAAATATATATAACAAGTAAATAATAAAAAAAAGATAGAATAAGAATTGACTATCCTCGCCATCTCTTGAATAATAAAACATCTCTCCAAAAGGTAAGATAAGATAGATAAAATAGAATAAAAATTGTCTGTTAGTACCATCTTTTGAATATTTTTAGAAAGCATTTCTTATAGCATTCAAGAGATGGTACTAACAGTCAATTCTTATTCTATTTTTATCTTTCTCTTACTATTTACTCTCCTTTTCTATATTTGAATTTTATGTATGGTACTCAAGAGATGGCGCTGATTTTACAATTTTTATATCTATCTCTATCCTTTTTCTATTTCCTTCTTTTGTTTGTATTTGCTTTTGGCGCGTAATTATAAACGAAGTATGAAATCTTCTCAATTGATTACACTTTCATCGTTTCTCTTTTAAAATTATATATCTTAATTTTTAATATAAAAAATATATATATTTACAATGTATTTCTATGAGATTACAATCTTGTAATACGTTGTAATATGTTATAATATACTATTATGACTATAATATTGTAATATACTTTATGATATGATACAAGTATTTTAACACAAAACACCGCGCGACGATAGCTTTGGAATTTAAACAAATGAAAATCTGACAATAAAGTCAAAAAGAAATTTTGTGATATTTTATTTAAAAATGATACTATCCAATACTGCTGTTTTTATCAAATCTATTTTTTCGCAATTTGTTATCTTGTAAAGCATTATAATAGCATTCTTAAAACATGCAATTAATTGTCCAAATACTAATTGTTATTGAATAGCAAGAGATATTTAATATTATATAGTTTATAATATCTTTAATAAAAGATTATAAACAAAATATTAATTCATAAATTATTTTTATATTTTTAAATTTTGATTGCATCTACAAAATATATTTAATAAATATATTTATATACATATTTCATTATATTTCACAATTTAATTTTTTAATTTCACATATAAATGAAATTTAAATATTCAAAAAAGATCACATATTGTAAATTATTTTTTAAAATATTTTAAAATAAAAAAATTTTTTAAAATATTATTTTGAATAGCATTAAATTTAAAAATTTTGTCACATATATACTTTCTATAGAACTTTATCCATTCAGCAATATGTTAAAAAGACATGTTAAAAATGCTGTTATCAATATTTATCTCTTTTATCTATTAAATATTTGAAATTTTATGACACAATATCAAAAAAAAAATATAATAAATTATTTAAACTGTAACTTAAAAAAAATATAATATTTATTTGTTTACTAAGAAAATTAAAAAAAAATATATGATGAAAACATATATAAATAATAAATATATTATAAGAATAATATCGAAAAAAATTATGAAAATATTAATTTTAATTATAAAGTAATATTAGAAAAGAAATTATGAAGTAAAATTATTATAAAAATCCTATTATAATTTTCATATTATCAAATGTATATTTATTTTTTACTATACAATATTAATTATTATATTATAATATCTTTTGCTATATAATTTTATTAAATTATTAATATATGTATATCCAATATATAATAAAAAATTTTATTAATAGTATAAGACTATAATGAAATTCTAAAAATTCATTAATTATTTATGGTTAATGCATCGACAGATTTCTAAAGAAGGCATATACAAGGCTTGATACTCATTTTTCGTAGTGGTATTTTATATGTATATCTTTTATATAGAAATGTATAGAACACAATGACCTTGTTATCAGTAACAGTCATTTTTCGAATGATACACTTCAACTGATTATTTCAAGACTGATCATTTCGTATTTCTTCACTGATCACAATACATCAATATTGCTACAATTTTACTCTAATCTACGATTATTTTCTTGTTACTTGTGAGTATACTATATTAATTAACACTATTCAAACTTCATTGAACAAAATTAATCTGGAAACGCATATTACTTTCTGTTTGCTTTCTTGTTAAATATGTAATAGTGATATGTGAATGAGAAATTTATGAAAAAAATTGTTTTTTGTATTCTGTTCCAAATTCTTTATATTTATTGAGGTACAATATAATTTTGCTGTTCAACGCAGGAAAGTCACGCGGTAATAAGGAAAGTGTTCTATAAGAGAAAAAAAGAAGGAATGTTCGCATTGGTACAACTTTCAATCGTTGCACCTTTCCCATTTGTAATTTGATCGTGTGTACGTACAGGAATATTACAGGAATATCGAGAACGATTGAATTTATACATTTTATTTTTGAAAATTATAAGTAACATTTAAGTTAAATAGAATTTTTTTATTACTATTCAATTATTATTTGAACGAGAGATAAAAATTATCTTAAAATATAAGAAATTATAAAAATTTTTAATAACAAGTGCATTTTAAAATTTACAGTTTTTAACAAACTCTTAAATATGAAGATCGCCGTGATCGGTGCTGGATCCGCTGGTCTTGCTGCTCTACGACATTGTACTTCTGATACATATGATACTCAAGTAATATGTTACGAAAAAACAGATCAAGTAGGCGGTACATGGGTTTACAGAGAAGAAACAGGTTTAGATCGATATGGTTTACCAATACACACTAGTATGTACAAAAATTTAAGGCAAGTCAACTATAAAAAGAAGTTGAAAAAATTATTTATTTATCTTGTCGAAGATATGTCTAATACATTGTTATATTATTTTTTAATAATATATTTGATATTTGTTTTCAGAACAAATCTTCCAAAAGAAGTGATGGGATATCCTGATTATCCTGTTCCGGATAATCCTGACAGTTACTTGACTCGAACGCAAATACTTGAATTCTTAAATTCATATTGTGATCATTTTAATCTCCGTCAGTATATCCAGGTATTATATAATTTATTAACAATATTGTCTAATGTTAGATACACAATAGATATCTAATAGATACATGTTTTTTTTGCAGTTTCTTCATAATGTTGAACTAGTGGAACCATCAATCGGAGATCGAAAATGGATGATCAAAGTGAAAGATTTAAAAAGGAATATCATTTTAGAAGAATCATTTGATGCAGTTATGATATGCAATGGTCATTATTTCGAACCTAGCATACCAAATTTGAAAGGTCAAAAAATTTTTCAAGGAGAACAATTACATAGTCACGATTACAGGGTGCCAGATATTTTTACCAATAAAACTATAGTTGTACTTGGTGCCGGACCTTCGGGTAACGTTATTTGTGGTCTTTTATTTTTTATATATAATTTTAATATAATTATAATTAATATAATATAATTAATATAATTTTATATATAAGAAAAAAGAAATATATATAAAAAGCATTTTTTAAAAATATTTTTATAAAAAAATAACAGGAATGGATTTAGCTTTGGAAATATCGAAAAAAGCGAAACGAATAATTTTGAGTCATCATTTGAAGGATCCCATAGGCACTGTATTTCCTGACAATGTTATTCAAGTAAATGATGCATGCAAATGTAATATAAAAAATATAAAATTATTTCAATTTATTATAATTTTTTAGAAACCAGATGTAAAAGAATTGACCAAGCACGGTGTTCTTTTTAAAGATGATACTAATGAATCTGTTGATGCGATATTTTATTGTACAGGTAATTATCAATTTAATTTTTTATAAAATAACTTAATTATTTTTTTCTTTTTGATCAAAGGATATAAATATAGCTTCCCCTTTCTGAGTGAAAAATGTGGAGTACGGGTAGATTCTAATATGGTGACACCATTATGGAAGCATTTGATATCGATTGAAAATCCCACCCTTGCATTGATTGGTCTTCCCTTTTATGTTTGTGCCTTCAGCATGTTCGATTTGCAGGTGCGATTAAAAAAAAAAAATAATATTATAATAAGGTACAAGAACTATTTTAGTATGAGTCATTCTATCTATTGATCGAAGGTCCGTTTCGTTCTACGATATTGGTCAGGAAAAAAGGACTTTCCTTCTAAAACAGATATGCTGAAAGACGAAACACAAGAATTAGAAAGTCGCAAAAAAGAGGGTTTGCAAAAAAAACATTTTCATATGATGGGATTTAAGCAAGATCGCTATTATGATGATCTTGCAAATACTGCTGGAATAACGCCATTACTTCCAGTTCTTACAAAATTGCATAACGAAAGCAGTTTGCTTTTCTTGGATGATTTGGTACACTATCGGGAAAAGAGATATAAGATCATCGATGATTACAATTTTATTCAACTTTGAAATGGTATCTTCTTCGGAATATAAAATAAACATTCGCTAACTTGATACAATTATTATGAAAATATTATTTTGTATTTAATCGATTCAATTATAAATATTATGTAAGATAGACTGAAAATTTTTATTTTTACTTATTTTATAATATTAATTATTTTATAATGATAGGATGATAAATAAATTGTAAATTTTTTCATCATTTTTTCATCAATATAAAAATAAATTAAAAATAATATTTACACATATATATATATATATATATATATATATATTAAAATCATATTTTGTACATTTTCCTAATATAAATTAAATTCTTTTGAATACATTTCGTGATTGAATTTCGCGCCATGCACTAGTGCATGATTTAACCGCAAGGTGTATCTGAATATAGATGTTAGTTAAATGCCTCAGTTGCGTGCAGTGCAATACGTGATGTAGATCTGTGACAAACGTGAATACGTATCGCTCCATTCTCATTTCGAAATGATTATTTCCGCGATCCCGAAGTGATTCAGTGTTGAAATATTTCAGCCTGTTTTTATGGCTGAACCACGATGATTGAATCAATCGGGAATTATATCGAAAGAAATCAATGTAAGTAGACTTCGATGAAAAAAGTATCTACAAATTATGTAGATACTTTTCTAGTTTATACTATCATTATTTTCTACTTGGTGAATTTCATATAGTCAATTATGTTCATTAGTATTGTAGAAAGATATTGAAAATAATGTGTCGTTATACCAAAAAAAATAGAAACTCTTATTGAATCTTTCACTGTGACAAGAAGTTTTATTTACATCGAGATCAACCGACGTTACTTTTCTAGATAGAAAGTTGCATTCAATGATGCGCGATATGTGGGCTACGCACAGACTCTCTCGGGTGAATGCATTTGTAAGAATGCATTCACGTCCGCCGTGTGTCGTGTTCTTTAGTTTTATGTAATTTTACTACGAACACCTGTCCGATCTTGAATATCGTATCAATATCGGCATTTAAACAATAGTGTCAAGAAGTCAGCTACATTTTATTGTCAACATTTTCGTTTTTCTTATCTGTCAAATATTTGAAATAACTGATAGTAATTTTCGGTTATCTGAATATTACCAATCTGGAAATACTGTGATTACTAACTGCCAGTAAATAATTCTAAAGAAACAAAAAATATTTTAGAATGTTGACTGTAAAATATGTCATAATTCGAAATATAATTGAAATATAATTTTTAATTTTGATACTATGTTTATTACCGATACTGATTTCATTTCTATGAAATTTATATATTTCGTACTTCGTTGTACTATTTATACTATTTTTTATTTTGCTTATTTAATTCTATTATTAATTATATTACAAAATATTACATTTAAAACTAATAAATTTTTAACTTTAAAAAAATATTAACATGCAAATGAAATTGTTCATACTTAATTTTTCTACTATTTAATAGGATATTAAGGTGGAATTAAAGAAATTATAAAATGGCTACAAGAACAGAAGATACAACATCTATTGATAATACTAATGATGGTATAAAAATTATTATTTATTATTTTTAAATATTTTTATTATTTTTATTATATATTGCTATGATATATGTAATTTTAGGAGAAAGTATGGATAAAGAGGTATTAGCAATTAGTGGAAATGATGAAACTAATCATCGTATTCCACCAACATATTTGTATAATTCAGGTTCTGAACAAAATACAGGAATATCTAATCAGGAACAAAACAATAAAAATCGTACTCAAGCTTCAGAGGATCAGTTAGGACCTTTACCACCAAATTGGGAAAAAGCTTTTACAGACACAGGAGAAGTTTATTTTATAGAGTATGTATATAATGTATATAATGTATATAAATTGTAATATAATTGTAATATAAAATGTAATATAAATTTTTTAAATTATTGAATATAAATTATACTTGTTATATAAATTTTATATATTTATATAATTTATATGTGTAATTAAATAATTATTATTTATATATAATATTATAATAAATTATATATATAATTAAATAATATTAAATAATTTATATATATTTATAAAATATGATTATTTTACAGTCACAATACAGGTACTTCTCATTGGTTAGATCCACGTTTATCTAAATTTCAAAAAAGATCCCTTGAAGAATGTTTAGATGATGAATTACCTTATGGTTGGGAGAAAATAGATGACACTCTTTATGGTACATATTTCATTGATCATGTAAATCGTAGAACTCAATATGAAAATCCTGTATTGCAAGCCAAACGGGCACAACAAAATTTAGGAGAAAGAAAGAGTCCTAATTTTACAAGAAATCCTGACAAATTAAAAGGCCAAAAAATAAGAACAACTTTAATAAAGAGTACAAGAGGATTAGGATTTACAATTGTTGGTGGAGATGATTCAGTGGAAGAATTTTTACAAATTAAAAGTGTTGTACCAAATGGTCCAGCATGGTTAGATGGAAAATTGCAAACAGGTAATATAAAATCATTGTTTTTTATCATTAGATTCTTTGAATTTGAAATTTCATTCTCACAGGAGATGTGTTAGTCTATGTTAATGATACATGTGTTCTGGGTTTTACACATAATGAAATGGTAAGTGTTTTCAAATCAATTAGCAGTGGCGAAACTGTTACATTAGAAGTTTGTCGTGGTTATCCATTACCATTTGATCCAAATGACCCAAACACAGAAGTGGTTACAACTATTGCTGTAAATACTCCAGGTAAAAATTTTATCAAATAATAATATATTTTTGTTAGAAGAATAAATTTTATTTTCTCAGATATTTTAACAGAAGATCCTAGATTATACATGGATTTGGATCCTGCTTTGCAAAATAATAGTCGTTTCAATTTTCTGGATTCTACATTCTTGCCAGTACATAATCTTCAAAATGGTGAAAATCTTGCCACAACTTCTGTCAATTCAATGCCAGATCTTTGTATTTCGGATAAAATTAATACAATTAAAAGACCTAGCAGTACAGATATTTTATTATCTGAAAACAGTGATTTGAATGACTGTAAAGATTCATCAACGTCTTCCAAACCAGAATTTCTCAGTATTGCGATTGTGAAAGGTACTATGGGATTTGGATTTACAATAGCAGATTCTGCTCATGGTCAAAAAGTTAAAAAGATTTTAGACCGTCAACGTTGTAAAAATTTAATGGAGGGTGACATTTTAGTTAATATAAATGATATTAATGTGAGAAATATGTGTCATTCAGAAGTAGTACAAGTTTTAAAAGATTGTTCTCGCAATGAAGAGGCACTGATACATGTACAAAGAACAACATTAAAATTAAACGAAAAAAAGGAAAAAAATTCACAAGATTTTTTTAGAAGTAAAACACCAACAGCTGATATTTATAGCACTCAAACAAAAACTGTTGTACCAAGTCGACCAAAAACTCCACTTATTGATACTAGAAATCGTCCAAAATCTCCATCTAGTGCAATTAGATCAAATTGGAATGAACAAAACGAAAATGAATTAAATCCACTTGATAACCGATACAAATATTCAGAATACACACATAACATATATTATAATGATCCATATAAAGCAAATATTACAAATTTATCTGATAATTTTGTTACAATGACAAATTTAGATGATGATTCTATAAGAAATGGTACAAAAAGAGATTGGGTTACAAATGAAAAATTGAACATAAATAATGATGTATATTCTATTGATATACCTCACCATGATAATATGTTAAAACAAAATGGATGCTTACATTCAGATTATTATAAAGATTTATATACATCACAATCACATTCTCAGTATAGTGAACAAGATTATAATGTATATTCTATTGGTCAAGAACAAAATGTTGATACTGGTGAAATATGGGATAAACGAAAAGAGACTACTAGTTTTGAGCATGAACAACCACATTCCAGTTCAATACCACGGTAGATAATATGAATTTATTAATTTTCTAATTTCAATTTGTTTTCAAATATAAAATTAATTTTTATATTTTAGGTATCCTCAATATAGCAACGAATTAGTGTGTCCGATTGTGCCTGATATAGAATGGATAGAAACCTTAGTAACTTTAATAAGACAAGATACAGGATTTGGATTTAGAATAGTTGGTGGTACTGAGGAAGGATCTCAAGTGAGTTAGAAAGTTGCTTATATCTTAACTAAAGGAAATCAAAAATATTGATAATCTAATTGTCAGCAGGTTTCAGTTGGACATATAGTACCTGGTGGAGCAGCAGACTTAGATAATAGATTAAATACAGGTGATCTCATTATGTCTGTTGATGGTGAGAGTGTTATGAATTCGTCACATCATCATGTTGTACAATTAATGATAGCTGCTGCTCAGAATGGTAGAGTCACTTTGGGAATTCGTCGCCGAATTAATACCCAAGAACATCTTCCAGAAAATCTTCAAACGTCATATAATAGACAGATGAATCTTCAATATCCTTATGATGTAACGGTCACTAGAATGGAAAATGAAGGTTTTGGTTTTGTTATTATTTCTTCAGTTAATAAAGCTGGTTCGACAATAGGTAGAATAATTGAAGGTTCACCCGCCGAAAGATGCGGACGATTAAATGTTGGCGATCATATTCTTGCCGTCAATCATGTAGATATTACAAATGTTTGTCATAAAGATATTGTGAATTTAATTAAAGACTCGGGTTATTCTGTTACATTGACAATTGGTTACCCTCTTGATGATTGTTGCAGTAATACATCTCTATCTCAAAAGGTATTGCTTAACTTTAAAATAATTAAATCTTAAATATATATAATATAATATATACGTATATATATTAATATAATACATAATTAATTATAAATACAGTTTTAAATAATTTATTTCAGGATGAACCAACATGTGATGGAGATGGAGGACAATATCATGCTGTTGAATTAACTCGTGGAACTAGAGGATTTGGTTTTAGTATTCGTGGAGGACGTGAATTTCAAAATATGCCATTATTTGTTTTACAAATTGCAGAAAATGGTCCAGCATCTATTGATAATCGATTAAGAGTAAATATAATATAAATATAATATTATCAGAATATGATTATATATAAATGATGATATTTTAATATAAATTTAGGTCGGCGATCAAATAATTGAAATAAATGGAATTAATACTAAAAATATGACACATACAGAAGCTATCGAAATTATAAGAAATGGTGGACCATCTGTTCGACTTTTAGTTCGACGTGGTTGTCAAATGCCTTCAGTGGTAGGTGCTCCTCCACACCTCTACGACATGAATATATGAAATTAACCACTCTAAATAACAATATATTAATATTAAAAATATTAACGATATTTATTTCTGCAAATGATGATACTAATGCTAACGTTGTCCTTGTATAACATTCCTTAATAATTTTATTTGAAGCTTCAAAGTTTAACATTAGGTACCATAGTAAAAAAAAAAAAAAAAAAAAAAAAAATATTTAAAGACAATATGAAAAAGAAAACAATGATTGCAAGAGGTTGTTTTATTGCAGTGAGAGTTAGATTAATACTGTTTTACAGTACTATGACATTTGGTACAGAAATATCTGGTGCAAACGGAAAACAGTGTTATATTGTATATTTTATGGAGTTGGTTATACATAAATGTAGGTATGTAGTAAGATATATACTTTTTGTATGCGACACGTTGAAATCAATTTTTATAACTTATATGTGCAGCTTCTATATTTGATAATATTATTTACTAGTGATTATTAGAGCTTCAAATTATACATATTGCAGTTCAACAATATTAATATGGATATTGTGGACATGGTTGTTGATTTTCAATGAAATGAATTATACTTTATAATAATATTAATATTAATTACATATTATATATAATTATAATGTTTTGATTATTAAAATGAGAAATTTTACATACTTTTAAGTTGAAAAAACAAATATGTGAACGACTTTTCTTGCAGCTATGAACGTAACTTGTAAAGTCCGATTTATAGGGATGATACTTGCTCATTCTAACAAAATTGGACTGGTGCTAACTCTATATTTAAATGATCTAATTTCTGAAAGAAAAGATATTAATTCATCCTAACACGTGTGATAGCTTGAGAGTATTGTGCCTTACGCGTGTTCCATATTTAATAACAAAATTATTAAGCAAAAGCTTAAGTTTTTGAAGCAATTATAAATTTTTTATTGAACTTTATTGTAGAGTAATCTTACAATCGACCAAATAAGTATTCGACCGATTGATGAAGGCACACCACGCAGACATTTATTGAAATTACACGAGATGGGTGTGCATCCTAAAAAACGTCAGAAAGTTCGATTTTTCATTTTACTCAACTGCTGTTCATCTAAAAATAGATATTTATGATAAATAAGCATTTACAAACATAATATTATTTTATTCATAATAAGTTCATATTTTATAAAATTAAATGTTAATTCTGAGAAAAAATTTTTTAACGTCTTTACTAGGTCACTAGATTTTTTTATAAAATTGACCTATAATTATATATTGAAATTCCTTGTATAAACGAATTAATATGTAAACAAATACGGTGAATTGCAAATGTTAATAGAGTATAATCTATTTGTAATAACAAATAGTATTAATACCTATAAAACATATAAGATTTACTTATTTTAATATCTGTGTAGAAAAATTATTCTCTATTAGTAGATTTTTTACTAAAAGAACTCGCAAATTGAAATATCTAAATTAAATATTTTTGTATATATATTCCGTAGTAATTGTATACACTCAGGAATATTTTGATAAATTCACGATATTTACGATATAATATTGTGATGTTAATCATAAAATAATATGCTTTTGAGTATATGTATACAATTTGTGAAGAATCTCTTTATTAAGTAATAATCTCTTACATTATTATTTTATTTTTTGAACAGCATTTAAAAAATATTGTCGATATTTTTTTTATTATAATATAATATTTATTATGATTATTGTACGAAATATATGCGAATAGCAATAATTAAATTAAGTACTGATACAACCAAAGAAACAAATGCATTTAATCATTTTGAAATGCAGTATAAAAGATACAAAAAAAAAAAATATTACTACATTTATTATTTAAAATCTTTGTTTAAAATAAAATAAATATTTTTTTTTATTAATTACATGAAGATATTTATAATAAAATAATATTAAAAAAAATTAATGAAATTGAATGAATAGAGAATTGAATGAAATGAATAAAAAATCTTTTCTAATTTTTTTTTGTGATATTGAAATGTGTTGAATATAAAAAATTAATAAATATATTTTTTTACTAGTAATAACTAGGAAAAAAAATGTTCGAAAATATAATGAACTTAAACGCTAAAAATGAATGTATTAAATAAGATTGATTTAGATTATATTTTTATTTTTAAATCTTCTCGAATATAAAAAATACTGTTTTAAAAATTTTAAGAATTTGTATAAAATTTTTATTGTTCATATTTACTTAAGCTATTTTACATGTATCTTATGAACAAGAAACAATAGTAAACGCATTTAAAATTTATTACATTTTATCTATATTATATAGTTATGTTTATTTTTATAATTAAATATAAAAATATATATATATATATATATATATATATATACATACACACATTTACAATTTGTATATTATATAAAATAGTGCAAACAAATTGTAAATATATAAATATTAAAAAAATACATTAAAAAATTATATGTGACATTATTAAAATAGTTATAAAATAAAAAAATAGTTTTCAATTAAAATGTATTCACTATCTTTATAATTTCATCATTAAAAAAAATGTTATCTTCTATAATTATGTTATGATTTTATCTCTTATAAATATATTGCATCCTTTTATTAAAAATATTATATATTTAAAAGTTGAAAATATTTTATCATTAAATATATTTTTTTTTATGTTATAATTGCTATGTAATTATTAAATTTTTTGAATCTTTCGATATTTATTATAGATCAATATTTAATAAATTTGTTATTATTAAACTTGAAATATCAAATATTCATATATATTGTTATTAAAATTCTATTATAGGATCATTACTGTTGATACATATATCAATAATAAACATTTACTATTAATAATGTTGAATTTACTTTTACTCATTAGAAATAATTAATAAATTTTATATTTGTGTTCGTTAAAAAAAATTTGTCAATATACAAATCAATATATAAATAATTTTATATTATAATTTTTATTTTTTTAAAAATATAAATATACAAATTTTAAAAAAAATATAATTGAAAAGTTAAAATCTTAATAAATTTAAAAGCGGCGCTCATTAAAAGATTGCGGTCAACAGTGGAGTCTATGCCTACATTTCCAAGAATATACTACTCGACGTCTTATGATGTCAGCCAATGTCATCCAACATTTGAAACATGTGTTTTTTATGCTTTCTATGTTCTAATATTTTCAAAATAATTATAAATTATGATTGAAAATGTTACAGAAATATTACATTTCATCAAATTAGATAATATTAAATCGTCAAATTAGATTATTTTTGTGCAAGTATTTTTGCTATGTCGTCCAATTTTCCATAAAGAATCGTTTACATGTTGGCACTACTGTTGATCGCACGTATTTTACTTAGAATGTACATCATTTATTCCTGGTCCCTCTGGGCGAATGTAAACAGAATTTTTTCGCAAATATGAAGTGACACGGCCGATCTATGCGGCTACGATTCGTGCATGGAAACTGTAATTTGTAATATCGTGTCGACCGTTTTAGCATTTTATAAGACCTCAAATATTAGTTTTAAACGCGTTACGGTAACCAGAAGATATACCTAGCGAATAAAACGGGTTTACGTTCGACCGCCCGTAATGTAAGTTCAGTGAAATAGTGTGGAGACGGTTTATAATACATGGAAGTGCAATGAGGGATCTGCAGAAATTCGTTGACTGCTTGCTGACGGTAAGTACTCCGAAACGAATGGTACTAGCGAACAACTGCTTTGGACTTTCCCAACTCTCACAAAATATGTCGTATTGGTCGATTTCTCCATAAAATAAGCTTGCACATTTTAATTACCTAATTTTCCTGTTAATCGAATACATATTTTCTATACACTAGAATATACTACAAATTTTCATATATACATGATAGATAAATCTTGTTACATACTTTCATGTGTTCCTGCATATATGTATGTCTTATATTAGACTAGCATTTGTGAAATCACACACAATTTAACATACAATCACACAGAGACATATACGTGCAACAAGACAGAATATAAGGTACGGATATCATGAAACGCATTAGGTTGTGGATATAGTGAATATTCGTAAATAAACGATTTTGATAGTTTTACCTAAATATACATTTCAAATAACTATAAAAATATTCCATATCTTTTAAAATGACTTTACCGTATTGCACTAAATAATTTGTGTAAGAATGATATATATTATATATAAGTGTATGTATATATGTATATGTGTATATATATATATATATATATATATATATATTTCTTTTTTCTCTTCAGTTATACTATAACTGTGATGACTGTGATGATTATATTTTCAAGTTATCTTCAAATTTTTCTATTATCCCGATAATTATTCCTCTAATAAATAATAACAATAATAATATATAATTAATAAAATCTTTCGAAAAATTGCCTATTATTAATTTTCATTTTATTCATTGTTTTATTAATTGATTTAATTAGAATTATTATATTTTAATATTTTTAAATAATAAAACTTTTTTTCACAATATTTAAATAATAGAATTTATTTATTTTTTTATTGCTATTTTTAATTTGCTATTTAAAATTGCTATTTTTTTATATAGATTTTTTTATTTATTTAATTAAATTATAAATTAAAACATATATTGTAAAAATAATAATAGTTTATTTAAAAATACAATTTTTAAGTTTTGTTTTATGTATAATATATCAAATAATTGTATTAAATTTATTTAATGAATAATTCATTCTATATTCTTGAATAAATTATCCATACAAGTTATTTTTTTGATTTTCGTTTCTCCATTCAATTTTCATTTATAATATCATAGTACATAAAAATATTATTCAATACATTTCATAACTAAAATGTAAATTGTATATTTATATTATTGTATTATTGTAATTATATAATTCTAATTTTATCTTATTTTATAATTCTAAAATTATAATTCTATTAATTTTAGAATTATAACTCTTATTAATTTTAGAATTATAATTCTAAAATTTTTTTATAATGTTATATGTATTTTTATAATGTATTTTTTTTATAATGTTTTTCTATAATTTCTTACATAAATATTTTTATTTTGTTACTTAGTATTAATATAACTATCTAATGTATATATATATAGAAGTTATAGAAGAAAAGATAAATATCATAAGGAATCATTGAAAATATAATATTTAAAAATTATTACTTCTTCTAATTTGAACTTTGTGACTTCAAATTAATTAGAAATATATCTCATCTCACTATATTATATAAATAATAATGATAAAAGATAGATGGAATTATTGGAAACAATATGAAAATCTAGAAATGATATGTCATGACCTCTAATTTACTAGTAATATATTTTATCTTATTAATTGTAGACTCTTATATTTAATTTCTAGAGTACAAAAATTCAGTTATAACTCAGCTTTGAAATTGTTGCATTGCACTTTAAAATATTTCATCTTTTATTGAATTATTTTAATATAATATTAAATTTGTATTTCTACTATTAATTTTAATTGATGAGATATGTTAAAATATATAGTTTAATCATCTTATATATTATAATGAAAATTATATTTTTATTTTAATTATATTTTTTTTCAGTGATGGGAGCACAAGATGTCTTCAAACATAGCAGATCCCAACAAATTTCAAGAAGAAATGTTTTTAAAATCAAGTTTTAAAAATATATTAAGCCATGATGATGTTATTAGATATCCAATTGCAAAAAAAATGACAGAAACTCTGTGCTATAATTTAAAGAAATGTGAAAATAATATTATATATGTACCAAGAAATAACATTCTTTCCCAAAAGATAGACATTAATTGGATGCAAGATAATCCATGTGACACAACTGAATTTTCAGAAACTAAGTATTCATCTGATATATGTTTAGTTAATCATTGTATGTTAAGTAAGGATGTTAATTTTAATTGTAATTGTAATATAATGCATTATCAACAACATAAACAAATTTCACAAAATTATATGTATTTTATATATAATTTATGGAGAATTAGAACAAATAAAAGTTTGCCATTATTGATTACAAACAGAGTTGGTACACAGTGGAGGAATTGCTTCTGGAGAATATTTTTAATTCCT